GGACTACAATCCCTGAAAATTTCAGCTCATTTGTATTTATAGTTCCTGAGATAAAATCGTGTTAAGCAATTTGGGGTGATTTATCAATTTTTCAATTTTTCTGAGTGCCTTTTTTCATAGATTTCAGCTTCAAATCTGAGAATAATTTAGTGTATGGAGTTTGGGGTATGTTGATTGACCATTAGGATACAAAATCTCGACAAAAAAAAATTTGAAATTTCATCGTTTTAGTAAGAAGGTACCTACCTTATGATTTAGATTTTGGAATAATTTGAAAGGTCATAACTTTTTTTCTATTATAGATAGAAAGCTGAATCTTTCACTGAATCTTATCTTTTTCAAAGGACTACAATCCCTGAAAATTTCAGCTCATTTGCACTTATAGTTCCTGAGATAAAATCGTGTTAAGCAATTTGGGGTGATTTATCAATTTTTCAATTTTTCTGAGTGCCTTTTTTCATGGATTTCGGCTTCAAAACTGAGAATAATTTAGTGTATGGAGTTTGGGGTATGTTGATTGACCATTAGGATACAAAATCTCGACAAAAAAAAATTTGAAATTTCATCGTTTTAGTAAGAAGGTACCTACCTTATGATTTAGATTTTGGAATAATTTGAAAGGTCATAACTTTTTTTCTATTATAGATAGAAAGCTGAATCTTTCACTGAATCTTATCTTTTTCAAAGGACTACAATCCCTGAAAATTTCAGCTCATTTACACTTATAGTTCCTGAGATAAAATCGTGTTAAGCAATTTGGGGTGATTTATCAATTTTTCAATTTTTCTGAGTGTCTTTTTTCATAGATTTCGGCTTCAAATCTGAGAATAATTTAGTGTATGGAGTTTGGGGTATGTTGATTGACCATGAGGATACAAAATCTCGACAAAAAAAAATTTGAAATTTCATCGTTTTAGTAAGAAGGTACCTACCTTATGATTTAGATTTTGGAATAATTTGAAAGGTCATAACTTTTTTTCTATTATAGATAGAAAGCTGAATCTTCCACTGAATTTTATCCCTTTCAAAGGACTACAATCCCTGAAAATTTCAGCTCATTTACACTTATAGTTCCTGAGATAAAATCGTGTTAAGCAATTTGGGGTGATTTATCAATTTTTCAATTTTTCTGAGTGTCTTTTTTCATAGATTTCGGCTTCAAATCTGAGAATAATTTAGTGTATGGAGTTTGGGGTATGTTGATTGACCATGAGGATACAAAATCTCGACAAAAAAAAATTTGAAATTTCATCGTTTTAGTAAGAAGGTACCTACCTTATGATTTAGATTTTGGAAAATTTTAAAAGGTCATAACTTTTTTTCTATTATAGATAGAAAGCTGATTCTTTTACTGAATTTTATCCCTTTCAAAGGACTACAATCCCTGAAAATTTCAGCTCATTTGTATTTATAGTTCCTGAGATAAAATCGTGTTAAGCAATTTGGGGTGATTTATCAATTTTTCAATTTTTCTGAGTGTCTTTTTTCATAGATTTCGGCTTCAAATCTGAGAATAATTTAGTGTATGGAGTTTGGGGTATGTTGATTGACCATGAGGATACAAAATCTCGACAAAAAAAAATTTGAAATTTCATCGTTTTAGTAAGAAGGTACCTACCTTATGATTTAGATTTTGGAATAATTTGAAAGGTCATAACTTTTTTTCTATTATAGAAAGAAAGCTGAATCTTTCACTGAATCTTATCTTTTTCAAAGGACTACAATCCCTGAAAATTTCAGCTCATTTGCACTTATAGTTCCTGAGATAAAATCGTGTTAAGCAATTTGGGGTGATTTATCAATTTTTCAATTTTTCTGAGTGCCTTTTTTCATGGATTTCGGCTTCAAATCTGAGAATAATTTAGTGTATGGAGTTTGGGGTATGTTGATTGACCATTAGGATACAAAATCTCGACAAAAAAAAATTTGAAATTTCATCGTTTTAGTAAGAAGGTACCTACCTTATGATTTAGATTTTGGAATAATTTGAAAGGTCATAACTTTTTTTCTATTATAGATAGAAAGCTGAAACTTTCACTGAATTTTATCCCTTTCAAAGGACTACAATCCCTGAAAATTTCAGCTCATTTGTATTTATAGTTCCTGAGATAAAATCGTGTTAAGCAATTTGGGGTGATTTATCAATTTTTCAATTTTTCTGAGTGCCTTTTTTCATGGATTTCGGCTTCAAATCTGAGAATAATTTAGTGTATGGAGTTTGGGGTATGTTGATTGACCATGAGGATACAAAATCTCGACAAAAAAAAATTTGAAATTTCATCGTTTTAGTAAGAAGGTACCTACCTTATGATTTAGATTTTGGAATAATTTGAAAGGTCATAACTTTTTTTCTATTATAGATAGAAAGCTGAATCTTTCACTGAATCTTATCTTTTTCAAAGGACTACAATCCCTGAAAATTTCAGCTCATTTGCACTTATAGTTCCTGAGATAAAATCGTGTTAAGCAATTTGGGGTGATTTATCAATTTTTCAATTTTTCTGAGTGCCTTTTTTCATGGATTTCGGCTTCAAATCTGAGAATAATTTAGTGTATGGAGTTTGGGGTATGTTGATTGACCATTAGGATACAAAATCTCGACAAAAAAAAATTTGAAATTTCATCGTTTTAGTAAGAAGGTACCTACCTTATGATTTAGATTTTGGAATAATTTGAAAGTTCATAACTTTTTTTCTATTATAGATAGAAAGCTGAATCTTTCACTGAATCTTATCTTTTTCAAAGGACTACAATCCCTGAAAATTTCAGCTCATTTGCACTTATAGTTCCTGAGATAAAATCGTGTTAAGCAATTTGGGGTGATTTATCAATTTTTCAATTTTTCTGAGTGCCTTTTTTCATGGATTTCGGCTTCAAAACTGAGAATAATTTAGTGTATGGAGTTTGGGGTATGTTGATTGACCATTAGGATACAAAATCTCGACAAAAAAAAATTTGAAATTTCATCGTTTTAGTAAGAAGGTACCTACCTTATGATTTAGATTTTGGAATAATTTGAAAGGTCATAACTTTTTTTCTATTATAGATAGAAAGCTGAATCTTTCACTGAATCTTATCTTTTTCAAAGGACTACAATCCCTGAAAATTTCAGCTCATTTGGACTTATAGTTCCTGAGATAAAATCGTGTTAAGCAATTTGGGGTGATTTATCAATTTTTCAATTTTTCTGAGTGCCTTTTTTCATGGAGTTCGGCTTCAAATCTGAGAATAATTTAGTGTATGGAGTTTGGGGTATGTTGATTGACCATTAGGATACAAAATCTCGACAAAAAAAAATTTGAAATTTCATCGTTTTAGTAAGAAGGTACCTACCTTATGATTTAGATTTTGGAATAATTTGAAAGGTCATAACTTTTTTTCTATTATAGATAGAAAGCTGAATCTTTCACTGAATCTTATCTTTTTCAAAGGACTACAATCCCTGAAAATTTCAGCTCATTTACACTTATAGTTCCTGAGATAAAATCGTGTTAAGCAATTTGGGGTGATTTATCAATTTTTCAATTTTTCTGAGTGCCTTTTTTCATGGATTTCGGCTTCAAATCTGAGAATAATTTAGTGTATGGAGTTTGGGGTATGTTGATTGACCATTAGGATACAAAATCTCGACAAAAAAAAATTTGAAATTTCATCGTTTTAGTAAGAAGGTACCTACCTTATGATTTAGATTTTGGAATAATTTGAAAGGTCATAACTTTTTTTCTATTATAGATAGAAAGCTGAATCTTTCACTGAATCTTATCTTTTTCAAAGGACTACAATCCCTGAAAATTTCAGCTCATTTGGACTTATAGTTCCTGAGATAAAATCGTGTTAAGCAATTTGGGGTGATTTATCAATTTTTCAATTTTTCTGAGTGCCTTTTTTCATGGATTTCGGCTTCAAATCTGAGAATAATTTAGTGTATGGAGTTTGGGGTATGTTGATTGACCATTAGGATACAAAATCTCGACAAAAAAAAATTTGAAATTTCATCGTTTTAGTAAGAAGGTACCTACCTTATGATTTAGATTTTGGAATAATTTGAAAGGTCATAACTTTTTTTCTATTATAGATAGAAAGCTGAATCTTTCACTGAATCTTATCTTTTTCAAAGGACTACAATCCCTGAAAATTTCAGCTCATTTACACTTATAGTTCCTGAGATAAAATCGTGTTAAGCAATTTGGGGTGATTTATCAATTTTTCAATTTTTCTGAGTGCCTTTTTTCATGGATTTCGGCTTCAAATCTGAGAATAATTTAGTGTATGGAGTTTGGGGTATGTTGATTGACCATTAGGATACAAAATCTCGACAAAAAAAAATTTGAAATTTCATCGTTTTAGTAAGAAGGTACCTACCTTATGATTTAGATTTTGGAATAATTTGAAAGGTCATAACTTTTTTTCTATTATAGATAGAAAGCTGAATCTTTCACTGAATCTTATCTTTTTCAAAGGACTACAATCCCTGAAAATTTCAGCTCATTTACACTTATAGTTCCTGAGATAAAATCGTGTTAAGCAATTTGGGGTGATTTATCAATTTTTCAATTTTTCTGAGTGCCTTTTTTCATGGATTTCGGCTTCAAATCTGAGAATAATTTAGTGTATGGAGTTTGGGGTATGTTGATTGACCATTAGGATACAAAATCTCGACAAAAAAAAATTTGAAATTTCATCGTTTTAGTAAGAAGGTACCTGCCTTATGATTTAGATTTTGGAATAATTTGAAAGGTCATAACTTTTTTCTATTATAGATAGAAAGCTGAATCTTTCACTGAATCTTATCTTTTTCAAAGGACTACAATCCCTGCACTTATAGTTCCTGAGATAAAAGAGAGCTAGTAATTGTTCAAATTTCAATTATTACCGGCTCTTGAGCTTTGATTGGTCCGATAATTTCTTTAGAGGAAATCAATAGTCCAAATAATGACACCGAATACTAAATTCCTGCCAAGAAAACCAGAAAAACTGATTGAATTCTACTGGAAAAAAACTAAATTTTTCACAGCTCATTTATTTCCAACTCGAAGTACAAATTTAACAATGGTAATCATGGGCAGCTCGAAAGCCAACGTCCAAAACGTAGCCACCAGCATTGACAACACAAAGTGCCCGCACCAATCGTGAAACTAAAAAAGCCAATTGTATAATAATCAAAAATGTTTCATATACCACTTACCATATCAAAATCCGAAAAATGTCTTCTAACTTTATCGGTCAAAGCCCAATGTTCGATTATAGGCCCGTGAACTAGGTACACACAATAAGACAATTTGCCTCCCAGTTGCATAAAGCCATTTGAAAGTACCCAATTGATAAATCCTGCAAAAAAATGCAATTGAAATCAGGATTTTTGGATGATTCAATCACCTCCTTGTCCAGTGGCGCAAGCGAAAGTGATCCAGCAAAGTCCCAAGGACCAAATCGGCCTAGTGAGGCTGTAGCATAAGGTTTTGGCCAAATATCCATAGTTTAGGTTGATATTTTGGGTTACCAGTATTACTCCCAACATACATAGAATCACTACAATCCAAATTATGCTGTTCAGAATCTGAAATAATTATGTTATTGTGCAAGTAAGAATTATTCAATTAAGTACCTTGTTTAGTTTGAATTGCCTGTTTTTTTGATGTTGCATGTAAAGGCCCATTGTTACACCAATGAAATAATCAGAAAGTCTAGATTGAGTGTCGTATTCACTAAAATTTGGATCATAGTTTTTCCAGTTTAGTTTTGTAAATATTGGTACCAATACACAAACAATATTCAAGCCTAGTAGTGCAATCATGGTTTGTTTAAATGAGTTTTTATACAAAATTGTAATGGGAATTAGGATTAGTGGAGCTAAAAGGAAGAGTTGCGTGTCTGCGCACAAGTACCATAAAGGAGTGATACACTAAAATAATTGTAATAGAAGATTTACTTTTATAAATTTAATACTTACAAGTTCCTCTCCTAAATTAAAAATGTAATAGTTTTGGATGTAAAGGAACACTGCCCACCAATGGTTTTTGCAAGGCTCGTTCAGAGCCCCATTGACTCTATAGGAAAATAGAGGCCCATCGCCTGTGTATTTCAATATGTAAACAGAGAAGAGGTAAATCATCAAAACCGCAGGAGTGAGCCTAAATAAATAGGGAATCAAATTTTTATTATTAACGGCTCTTGAATCTTAATTGGTCAAATTAGAGTCGAAATGAATTTAATAGAATACCATTTGGACTTAAGAAGGCGCCAGCCACTTTCCAAAGAGTATAATGGACAATACAAAAAAACGACTTCAACAAAATCCCTTTTGGATTAAAGAATGCACCAGCTACTTTCCAAAAAGTATAATACAGAATAAAATCAAGAGCCGGTAATAGTCCAAAAATTTCATTTCTCACCTTAAATATCTGTGAAGTATCATTGAAGGTACCGCCCTGATTTGATCCAATACTCCTTTTTTGCTGAGCTGGTTTTTAAAGTACAAATACCCGAGCAGGAAACCCGAAATGAAAAAAAACGAGTCCACTGCCAAATGACCAGTCATTATATAAGCCGAAGACATTTTTTGTTGCCACTAAAACATCAAACATTAAACCTCAGTTTAACCACTAACAGTTACCAATACATACTTCTGTTACCTTATTGTTGTTAACCACAGGATATACCTCAAAACCGACAGCATTGTGACCTGCAATTATCCACCACATGCTTATAAACTTAATTCCGTGAAAACACAGAATTTCATTAGGCCGTGACTGCGTAAGCACTTTCCAATTGGCCCTTAACGAAAACGCCTTATAAATATTAACTGTTGGTTGAAGCAAATCGTAAATGGTTGAGGCAATTATCAGCCAAACAACCAAGACAAACAGGAATCTGGAAATTTGTATCTTAATACCTTAAATAATAATAATAATAATAAGCAAGTTGTCTTACATAGTCAATATTGTCCCAAAATCAAAACCACTTGATTCATTTGTAGTACAAATCAAATCGTTAAACAAAGACAAATTTGTAATGGCTTGTAAATCTTTGGAAGTGCACAGTTGCGGCACGCAATAGGACAACTTCCAGCCATTCTGAAGCAAACTCAGTTAAACTCAGAAATGTCTCAGCAGAAACTACTTACGCTTATCATTTCGGTTGTGTTTGTGTAAGTTGGATCAGGAATTATGAGGCCGTAGGTGCAATGTTTGCCCAAAATTTCAATTTCGGTGTTCAATTTGATTCCCAGGCACTCGTCGTACTGTCCGTAATCGTTTCGGGATGCTTCGACTAGGCCGGTGTATGGGAATTTCGACCAGGAATCTGCCACTAGAGTGAAGAATTTTGATTTGTTACCAGCACATGAGTCTGAGTGATTTGTTTCGAGGGAATCAAGAGTCAAAATTTTGATTATTACTGGCTCTTGAATCAAAAACTTGTAAAATTTATGCCTTTTGGATCAAAGAACGCGCCAGCAACTTTCCAAAGAGTGATGGACAATGTATGGATTACAGAATAGAATCAAGAGCCGATGATAATCTAATTTTGATTTGTTGGATAATTTTTTTAGAGACAATCAAAAACCTGTAAAGGTTCAAATTTTGATTAATACTGGCGTTTGATTTCCTGTATGATTTTCTAGAGGGAATCAAGAGTCCAAATTTTGATTATCACCAAAACTAGAATGCCTATTGGATCAAAAAACGCGCCAGCAACTTTCCAAAGAGTAATGGACAATCTAGGGATTGCAGAATAGAATCAAGAGCCGATGATAATCTAATTTTGATTTGTTGGATAATTTTTAGAGACAATCAAAAACCTGTAAAGGTTCAAATTCTGATTATTACTGGCGTTTGATTCCCTTGGTGATTTTCTAGAGGGAATAAGGAGTCCAAATTTTGATTATTACCAAAACAAGAATGCCTTTTGGATCAAAGAGCGCGCCAGCAACTTTCCAAAGAGTAATGGACAATGTAGGGATTACAAAATAGAATCACGAGCCGATGATAGTTCAAATTTTGAATTAAATTTTAAACAACTCCACTTACTTTTAACTAAAACATCTTCATTATCCTGAAGTTCAAGCAATTGCCTGGCACATCCAGGATCAATTGTAGCGTTGCCTGACCTAAATTCCTTCCAAACATCCCTAAAATCGATACCATTTCGGGCAACATTCTCAAATTGTCCCGTAACTCTTCCGAAAAACAAACTTAAAACAATCAAAATCATTGTAAAAACTGAAAACTTTATTATACAACTAAGTCGAGATAATAACAATTGGAAACACTTAAGATTAATTAGGTGATGGTTGAGAGGGTTATCTGCCTGAAATAATAGATATTACAAAATTATTACAAAGTATAGGTATTTATTAATCATTAATTTTACCAAAAATCAGCCTCTCAATAGTAATCATCGGCGACTCGAAGGCTAAAGTCCACACGGTAGCAATCAGCATCGACACAATAAAGTGCCCACAATTCTCATAGAACTACAATACAATCATCAGAATATTAAACAATCAAAAAGAGAGATCCGATGTTTATAGAGGAAAGATACACTTACCACAATCCAATCAGAAAAGTACAACTTATTCGCTTGACCAAAAGCATAATGCGCAATCGCCATTCCATGTACAATGTAAATACAGTAAGTCAATTTGCCTCCTAGTTGCATGAAAGGGCAGGAGAGAAACCAGTTGACTATACCGCCGTGGCCGGTTGAGCATGCGTATGTTATCCAACTAAGTGCCAGGCACCACATTGGTCTAGTGACACTGTAGCACAAGGATTTGCCTACGTAGTCGTTTGCTATTTGGACTTGTTGTCTGTAGATAATTACTCCTAGCATGGTGGCTAGCGCCAGAGACCATAGACAAAGGTTGAGAGTCTACAAGGAAATTGTGTAAAATGTAATGGGGTAGATAAGGACAGTTATAAGAATAAGAAGAGGAGGAATGTGACGTTGTTGAGCAGCTTTTACTTACTTTACTGATGACAACTTTTTTATTCTTTTCGTGCCTCATATAAATTCCCATCATTACGCCTATGAAGTAGCTGATCAGTTTCGAATGGAAATCGTATTCGTTGAAGGCTCTGAAATTGATTGATCAAGTTTTGACTTTCACCGGTTCTAGATAATTTGTCTAGAGCCGGTAATAGTCCAAATTATTACATTTCTGACATTCAAATTTTGTTTCTGACCATGGTTTCTAAAACCTCTGCCAAAACTGTACAACTTTTGTATTTACACCTTTCTTCTACCTGTGAAGGTAAAGGCTGTAGGTGGGGTGTCAATATATATAAAAATACCCTGTACAAATAAGTGGATTATTGCGAAACTTATAGGTAGTTCCGCAGCCATCTACTCACCAATATACTGTTGAACTGTTCAAATAAGACAATCACCTAAAACGTGTCGTTTTTGAACTAATGAGAAAAATTCACAACTAAGCGAATCAGGTTGGTATTGTAGTTGAACAACATATTGGTGAATAGATAGCTAGGTCCACCCATAGGTTCCGCAAAAATCCACTCGTTTGTACTTGAATAACTTGTCACAATATATTACTAGTTTGGTAAAGTAACATTACTAATTCCTGTTGAAAGGCGAATTGATAAAAAGTGGATAATCTTGCAAATTCTGACTTTATGTAATACTTTTTAAGTACAAATAAGTGCATTGTTGCGGAACTTATGGGTGGACCTCTGCGGGACGAGCGCAGCGAGTTCCGCAGCCATCTACTCACCAATATAGACACTGCAAACTTTGTCATGATTTCCATATACACATTATCCCATTTCTTAAGTAGTTTTGGTAGCTGCTGGTTCCGTGCTTAGTGAAGTTCGCTAGAGCAACCTTGACCTAGAACCTTCCACCTTGTTGAGGCACCAATAACCATCTGTACCGTCTTCTTGTTTCTGAAAAGAACCTTTTGTTGCAAGGTTCCATATTGCCCATTGGTCCTGGCTGTTGGGCGTACATGGCGCGTCCTAGTAACTGTTGCAACATGTACATATTCGATCTGATTATTGGGCCTGAAGGCGTAAAGTCAATTCGTCGTATATGCCAATTCGTCGTATACGCCAATTCGTCGTATACGTCAATTCGCTATAAAGTCAATTCGTCGCATACGTCAATTCGTCGTAAAGTCAATATGTCGTATACGTCAATTCGTCGTATAGGTAATTCGTCGTATTTCAGGTATAATGTTAAAATATTGAAATGTATTTTGTCGTTATTTCAGACATTAGTCCGGTTAATTTTCAATTTTATTCAGACAATACATTGCATTGCTAACCCAAACTGACCGAGTTATTATCGGTAAGTTTGTTGATGTCTGGATGAAATTGCAACTTATTAACACGTTAATTCATCGTAAACGTCAATTCGCCGTATTGTTAATTCGTCGTATTCCAGGTACAATGTTAAAATGTAATTTGCACTTTTACTTTTTAATCAGACATTATAAAACTTACCGAGAAAAACGACAAATTACCTATATTGTCGTACGTTATTCTACGACAATTTGACGAATACGACAAATTGTCGTAAGGTAATTCGTCGTTATTATCGGTAAGTTTGATCATATCTGATTAAATAGAAAAATGCAAGTTTATCCATTTTAACATTATACTTGAAATACGAAGAATTAATGCTACGATGGATTAACGTATACGACGAATTAACGCTACGACGAATTAACGTATACGACGAATTGACGTATACGACTCATTTACTTGACTGCGAATTGACGTATACGACGAATCGACTTTACGACGAATTGACGTATACGACTCATTTACTTGACGGCGAATTGACGTATACAACGAATTGACTTTACGACGTATTGACTTCACGACGAATTCACGTACGACGAATTGACTAACGACGAATTGACATAGACCCTGGAGTACCAGGGGTGTTGGATTTTGGCGATGAGATGTCGCTTTTAACGCTGGTGTTGGCGTGAGTTTTAATTGTGACATTTGTACTGTAATTTGACCGGCGGTTCGAAATTGTCAATCTGAGTGCCGGATTATAATTTATCAGCGGATCTTTTAAGGAACTTTTGTTCCTCTAATAATGCATTGAGTTCACTCATAAGTTCCGCAACAGTTCACTCATTTTTACTTGAATAACTTGTCACAATATATTACTAGTTTGGTAAAGTAACATTACTAATTCCTGTTGAAAGGCGAATTGACAAAAAATGGATAATCTTACAAATTCTGACTTTATATCATAAGTTATTTTCCAAGTGCAAATAAGTGAATTGTTGCGGAACTTATGGGTGGACCTCTGCGGGACGAGCGCAGCGAGTTCCGCAGCCATCTATTCATCAATATGTTGTTTAATTACGATAATAACCTGACTCACTCAAATGTAAGTTATTCTCATTAGTTTAAAAACTACATGTTTTAGGTGAATGTCTTACTTGAACAGTTCAACAATACATTGGTGAGTAGATGGTCAGGTTAGTATCGTAATTACACAACATATTGATGAATAGATGACTGCGGAACTCGCTGCGCTCGTCCCGCAGAGGTCCACCCATAAGTTCCGCAACAATCCACTTATTTGTATTTGAACAATAACTTATTATATAAAGTCAGAATTTGTAAAATTATCCACTTTTTGGCAATTTGCCTTTTAACAGGAATTAGTAAGGTTACTTTACCAAACTAGTAATATAATGTGACAACTTATTCAAGTACAAATGAGTGAATTGTTGCGGAACTTATGGGCATTGTGGCCAGATCTCACGATTATTTATAAGATTACTCAATTTTGGTCAGAATTTCACGATCTCACGAATGAGGTAGCAATTCTAATTGTAGTAATACAAATCAGTAATCAAATATAATGTAATCGAAATAAAAGATCTACCATACAATATTTAGTTATGTTACGCCGTTCCTGGTACGTGCTCATCCAAGAACACTCAACCTAGAACGGCATATACAAAAACAATCAGCAGGCTAACTCAAGCTTTGTATCCCAAGATGGCGGCGTGCGCAGAAGAGATGCGCGTGAGAGTTAACCTGCTGTTTGTTTTTCTAATAGGACTGCTTTATTGAACTGTAAGTGTCTGCGAAGTCCACGAGACACCATTATTTGTGACGTCATCTGCAGACCTCAATACTTGGCAGAAAATGCATTATCCTAGTTTAAAAAACGAATTCATAAACGTAGAAATCGCCTTCTCTTGATTTAATATTTCCAAAAAAAAATAACCTGAATCGTAAGCAATCCATCGAGGTCTGCGGGTGACATTACCACTATCAGTTGCTGATAGTGGTGACGTCACTCGCAGACCAGCTGCCAACGCGAGAATTGGCGAACGTACGCCTTTTTAGGATAAGCAATCCTGCCGATGATGAAAACGAGGCTTAGCTGTCAGAAACACCTGCTAAAAAAACACGGGAAAAACAAGGATACAAGATTTATTACCAAAATTCTATTTCTTATGGATGTAAAATCATGTCTACTTTATCAAAAATCTATAGAAGAACATTATGCATTATTTTCTTACAAGCAATTTCAGGTCTCACGATTTTTCTTTCTCGATTCTCACGATTTTTATTTATTTCATCTGGCAACACTGCTTATGGGTGGACCTATGCGGGACGAGCGCAGCGAGTTCCGCAGCCATCTATTCATCAATATGTTGTTCAATTACGATACTAATCTGACTCACTCAAATGTGAGTTATTCTCATTAGTTTAAAAACTGCATGTTTTAGGTGAATGTTTTATTTGAACAATTCAACATTATACTGGTGAGTAGATGGCTGCGGAACTCGCTGCGCTCGTCCCGTAGAGGTCCACCCATAAGTTCCGCAACAATTCACTAATTTGTACTTGAATAACTTGTCATGATATATTACTAGTTTGGTAAAGTAACATTACTAAATCCTGTTGAAAGGCGAATTAACAAAAAGTGGATAATCTTACAAATTCTTACTTTATATAATAAGTTATTTTCCAAGTACAAGTGAGTGGATTGTTGCGGAACTTATGGGTGGACTCAATGCATTATTAGAGCAACAAAAGCCATCTAGTCACTAATATACTGTTGAACTGTTTAAGTAAGACATTCACCTAAAACATGTAGTTTTTAAACTAATGAGAATAACTTACATTCGAGTGAGTCAGGTTAATATCGTAATTAAACAACATGCTGATGAGTAGATGGCTGCGGAACTCGCTGCGCTCGTCCCGCAGAGGTCCACCCATAAGTTCCGCAATAGTCCATTTATTTATACAGGGTGTTTTTTTATATATTGACACTCCACCTACCTACTTTACCTTTACAGGTAGGAAAAAGGTGTAAATAAAAAAGTTATACAGTTTTGACTGAATTTTTAGAAACCATCGTCAGAAACAAAATTTGAATGTCAGAAATGTGAAATTTTGCATGCTTCCAGCTTTTTTCAATTGGGACGCCCTATATTTCATTCTATATTCTTGGAGAGCACAATACCCTGTTTCCAAAAATATATAATTTCTCTATATTTGATTGAACAGTCTACATTTCCGACCCTAACTTCAAGCTCTCCAAAGCGCAATTATTAGTTTTACCCCCTTAAACTACTCTCAAAGTAATTTGCAAATCAACCTAAACGGTGTATATTGGTACTGAAATCATTCTGAAGCCTGGAATATTTTCAAAAAAAATTCTCAAACCCAAGAGTCTTTTAATTTAATTTAAAATTTGGACTATTACCGGTTCTTGATTCTATTCTGTAATCCCTACATTGTATTTTACTTTTTGAAAAGTTGCTAGCGCGTTCTTTGATCCAAAAGGCATTCTAGTTTTGGTAATAATCAAAATTTAATCTAGAAAATCATCCAGGTATTCAAACGCCGGTAATAATCCAAACTACAATTACAAACTTACGGATCATAGTTGCGCCATTGTAATTTGGTAAAAATGGGTATTCCGAAAAATATCAGGTTAAGCGCTACTAAAGCAGCCATTGTAGCCCTAAATGACCTCTTATACAGTACTGTCAAAGGTATGATTATAAACGGTGTAATCAGGAACAATTGGAAATCTGCACTCAAATACCAAGTGGTCGGTATACACTGGAAAACCATTATTTAATAATTGAATTTCTTAGGGCGGGTATTATAAAACTGCTTTGACAGGTAACTTGAGGTTAACTTTTTGAATTACATGTAATTCTAGAAGTTAACTTTAAGTTAACTCTCAAAGTAGTTTTATAATACCCGCCCTAACAATATTTTTTTACCAATGAATCCCCAAAATGAAAATTGTAATAATTCTGTATATACAAAAAGTAAGTCCACCAATATTGTTTGCAAGGCTCCACCAGTCCCGTGCGAATACCATAAGAGAAAAACGGCCCTGTTTGCAAATACCTGAACAAGTACACAGAACCTAAAAAGCACATAGCATTTGCAGGAGTGATCCTCAAATAACGATGCAAAATCAATGAAGGCACCGCTATAATTTGCTGCAAAATCGGCTTTTTGCTGTGGTCTTGCTTGAAGTACAAATAGGCCATCAGAAATCCGGATATATAAAAGAAGGTATCCACTGATATGTGAGCTGACGCTATATACCTTGAACGCGGTAATGTCATCCACTAAAAAAAAAAAAAACCTATAGTGAGGTTATTTTGTCAATAATCCCTTACTTCAGCCTTAAGGTCCTTATTGGTAACTGGCTGCAAGAAAAACGAAATAAAACCATGACCTGAAATGATCCACCACATGCTAATGAATTTCATTCCGTTGAAGCACAAAATCTGATCAGTTGCCTTTGAGGTTTTGGTACTTTGTAGAAGCTTTTTGCCATTTGAATAAACGGAAAAAGCTAGGAATAAAGGGCTGGGAGATTCTGAAATAATAAGGTTGATGTAATATTGGAATTATGTCTAAAATTTAAACTTACTTTTTCCTGTATAAAACAAATAAACATCAAACGCAGTGGATAGGAGCATGAATAGAAAAATCAAGCCAAATATTATCCTAAAAACAAATAATTATTACAAGTAACTTAAATATTGATTCTTTTACATTGCAACAATAGCTCCAGTATCAATTTTGGTATCATTATCCCTAGTAGAGCAGTAATTCTCATTGAAAACATCCAATTTTAAATCAGGCAACATTGTATGTACAACGTTGTTGAGATCTGCAGCAGTACAAAGCTCTGGTACGCAATATGTCAGCAACCAATACTAGAAGTAAATTGCAACTTAGAAATACAAAATTATTATTAACAGGTACTTACAGGTGAAGATTCGTTTGCTCTAAGATCAGGCAGTACCCAACCCCAAGGGCAATATTTCCCAATTATTCTTTCCTTGTCTGTATTTACTTCAACTTTCATGCATTCTTCGTAGTTGCCCCAATCTTGCTTGGACGCATACAAAAAGGCTCCACTATAGGGAAATATACTCCAAGAATCGGCCACTATATTATTAATAATAATAATTTCCAAATAATATAAATATAAATACTTACTTTGCCAAAATGCTTTATTGTTTTTGCTTTGGAACAAAGTTGTAATTTGTTGTTTGCATCCATTGGAAATATTAGGCACTTGTCCCATGATTACAACATCTGCAATGTCCTTTAGAGTGATTCCTTGTTTATGGAAGGATTGCATTGTTAGTTGTTGGGCGTTTGTTAAGGCAAGTAGCCCTATAAGGTACCACAAAGTGGGCATGTTGACTACTGATTTTGTTCTGGAATACAGGAAATTATTACATCGTTATCTTTGTATAGTCATATCGGGCCACTTGAAGAGTTATTGTTTCATTTCTTATCTTTGATTTTATTCATGTGCAGGTGTAAGTTTGAGTACTTACTTTGAATAATTTGATTTTGATTAGCGTACCAGGTGACAAAAACTCGTAATTTGCTTCAAATTTCGATTATTACCGGCGTTTGATTGGCTGAGTAAATGTTCTACAGAGAATCAAGACTCAGTGATAGGTCAAACTATGATTATGTCCAGTTTTTGAATAATTGTCATCTGATTATACAATTTTGTATATTTTCGTATGAATCTCTGTTTGTAGGTCGATCGAGTGTCGCCACTGACTACCCTGTTTCTAACACCCCCTTTAACTTTTCCTATTAGTCCCTATATGAATTTAATCATACATAATAATCCATACATAAAAATTCCCTTTGGATCAAAGAACGCACCTGCGACCTTCCAAATAGTAAGAGAAGTCTAGAATTCCGGCTATTGATTCGCAGGATAATTGTCTAGAAGGGCTCAAGAGCCGGTGATAGTTTAAATATTGATTTTTGCCGACGTTTGATTGGCTGGATAATATTCCGACGGTTATTTTGATAATAATACATATTTGTTTATTCAACATCTAATTATAATTTTTTTTTTTCTAGTAAACATCAGAATACAGTGTGGGGTAAGTGACTAAACAGATTATATTTGAAAATACTTAAAAAGGGGGTGTGACCCTAAAAAATGACTTGAGCTACTTAAATCAAGATTTTTTTTTTAATATCTCTCGTGAAAACCGCAGTCCTATATTCAAAAAATTCCTTGTGAAGATAAATTATGCAGGAAATTGTGACGTCACAACCTCCGAAATCATAGTCTTTTGTTCGGTCAGTCGTCAGTGAATGGTATCCTATGCTTTGAGTGTTTGCAATTCGCTCTAGTCTTTTGTTTTGGAAAATTCTTACACGTGTTAATACTGTGCTTGATAATTTAGCGTGACGTCACAAACACCTAGTTGTAGTTTTAAACCGCCTTAACTAGAAAACGGACTTTCGTAACAAGATGGGTCACATTTCCTCTAAAATTTTTATTTTTAGGTTTTTCTCAATTTTGACTTCATAAATGGATAGAGCGAACTCAAATAACCCAGAAAAAACTCTAACATCGTTTGCATTTGAAAATTTCGATGAGAAAAAAAAATCCAAAAGGAAATCTCAAGAATATTTTTTACTTCTGACTCAGTCATGATTAATTGCGCATTTCTTCGATGACATTTAAGCAAATGCCATACAGTTATACATTATTGGAAAGAGCATCAAATTCTCTATTAGGCCATACAAAATTGGTTTCTATAGCTTGTAAAGTCTCCGAGATATCGAGCCTCAAAGTTAAAATTTACTCGAAATTTTGTCCAAAACTTCAAACTCGATTTTCTCAAAAACCGTAAACGCTAGCAAGTTCAACCAAGTACCATCTTAAAGCCCTTATCAAAAACTACAATTACTGAAAATTTTGTTCCAATATCGTTTTTGGTTACCAAGATATCGAGGTTTGAAGATTTGGGAATAAAAATCCAAAGGGGAAAAAGTGGAAAAAATTGAAAATTTTTATTTTTGAGTTTTTCTCAATTTTGACTCTATAAATCGATAGAGCGAGCTCAAATTACCCAGAAACAACTCTAACATCGTTTGCATTTGGAAATTTCGATGAGAAAAAAAATCCAAAAGGAAATCTTGTTTTTGGCTCAAAATTTTTAAAAAAAATCTGATTCGGTCATGATTAATTGCTCATCTCTTCGATGACATTTGAGCAAATTCTATACAGTTATACATCATTGGAAAGAGCATCAAATTCTCTATTAGGCCATGCAAAATTAGTTTCTATAGCTTGTAAAGTCTCCGAGATATTGAGCCTCAAAATTAAAATTTACTCGAAATTTTGTCCAAAACTTCAAACTCGATTTTCTCAAAAATCGTAAACACTAGCAAATTCAACTAAGTACCGTCTTAAAGCCCTTATCAAGAGCTACAAGTACTGAAAATTTTGTTCCAATATCGTTTTTGATTACCAAGATATCGAGGTTTGAAGATTTGGGAATAAAAATCCAAAGGGGTTACCCTTAGGAAAAAGTGGAAAAAATTGAAAATTTTTATTTTTCAGTTTTTCTCAATTTTGACTCTATAAATCGATAGAGCGAGCTCAAATTACCCAGAAACAACTCTAACATCGTTTGCATTTGAAATTTTCGATGAGAAAAAAAATCCAAAAGGAAATTTCAATTTTGGCTCAAGAATTTTTTTTTAACTTCTGACTCGGTCATGATTAATTGCTCATTTCTTCGATGACATTTGAGCAAATGCTATACAATTATACATCATTGGAAAGAGCATTAAATTCTCTATTAGGCCATGCAAAATTAGTTGCTATAGCTTGTAAAGTCTCCGAGATATTGAGCCTCAAAATTAAAATTTACTCGAAATTTTGTCCAAAACTTCAAACTCGATTTTCTCAAAAACCGTAAACACTAGCAAATTCAACTAAGTACCGTCTTAAAGCCCTTATCAAGAGCTACAAGTACTGAAAATTTTGTTCCAATATCGTTTTTGATTACCAAGATATCGAGGTTTGAAGATTTGGGAATAAAAATCCAAAGGGGTGTTACCCTTAGGAAAAAGTGGAAAAAATTGAAAATTTTTATTTTTCAGTTTTTCTCAATTTTGACTCTATAAATCGATAGAGCGAGCTCAAATTACCCAGAAACAACTCTAACATCGTTTGCATTCGGAAATTTCGATGAGAAAAAAAATCCAAAAGGAAATCTCGTTTTTGGCACAAAATTTTAAAAAAAAATCTGACTCGGTCATGATTAATTGCTTATCTCTTCGATGACATTTGAGCAAATGCCATACAGTTATACATCATTGGAAAGAGCATCAAATTCTCTATTAGGCCATACAAAATTGGTTTCTATAGCTTGTAAAGTCTCCGAGATATTGAGCCTCAAAGTTAAAATTTACTCAAAATTTTGTCCAAAACTTCAAACTCGATATTCTCAAAAACCGTTAACGCTAGCAAGTTCAACCAAGTACCATCTTAAAGCCCTTATCAAGATCTACAAGTACTGAAAATTTTGTTCCAATATCGTTTTTGGTTACCGAGATATCGAGGTTTGAATATTTGGGAAGGAAAATCCAAATTGAAAATTTTTATATTTTAATTTTTTCCAATTTAAACCGCAAATTATCTAGAAACAACTCTAATATCAATAACATTCGGAAATTTCAATCAGAAAAAAAAATAGTTTCTGCAAAATTTCAACATCTCTCAAGATTTGTGAGTTGTTGATACAAAATCCCTTATAACTCTGATAATATTTCACAGATTCCAATATTCAATTGATGATTCTGAATCAGAATTGAATACTCTACAAGATAAAACAAGATTCATTTCCATATCTTGAATAGTTAACGAGCTATGAGGCCCCAAAGTTAATTGGTTTACATACAAAATTCAACTGTATATGCCTAGAAATTGTTAAAACCCAAAAACTATAATAAAAATTCCACTTGTTGGCAAAAAAATTGTTACGTGTGTGTTTGAAATGTTGACTTGATAATGATTGATGAGGTGGTGGGGCAATATTGAATATAATTTAATCTTATTAAATCCCGTTTGGACTCAACAACGCTCCCGATACTTTTCAGAAGTTAATGAAATTATGACTCAATATGTATAACTCAGTCACTACCACCTAAAAAGCGTGTATTTATATTTAATATTATATGGCCAGTCGTGTATACCTTACCTTAATAAAGCGTTTTTCAGTTTTTGCTTGAATAATTTTGAGTTTGGGTTTTATTTCCTGATTCCTGATGTGTGAACAAAGCCTTAAGATCAAATATATAATGTAATATTATATATTCTTTACTTCGGCCTACTAGGCCAAATAATTACAGATTTCTGTAATAATAATTGGTCGATAGATTAGAGGTTTATTAACCCTTCAAATCAATTAAGATTGAGATGAATAAAGCCAAACTAAATGAGGAAATTAATAATTACAAAATTTATTTAACACGATCGTTTATTACAATAAAACTATACTTTAACAAGACGCAGATACTGCACCAACCCGCACCATATACTATTCCCAAGCCCCAAATATAACTATAAATGATCATTCTTTGCAGAACGTAGAACACTACCCATTCCTTGGGAGCCATCTGCCAGCGAGTGCAACCATTGACTCTGAAATCTAACATCGCTAATTTTATTTTTTGTCCCAATAATAATATACACTTACAGAGGCCGCACATACACAGCACAAGGAACTAACATTTAATGGAAAAAATTAAAATAAATATTTCTTAATTTTTAGTCTCATTATAAATATACGATATCACAATTTTTAATATTGCAATAATTTCAAAATTACAGCTAGATATGCTTCCATCGACTAATTTATAAGCCCAGATTTTGACTAGACGAATTTAGCAATAATAAACTGTTTAGGAGCTACGTTCTATTATCAATTAATTAAATAATAAAAAATACAAAAATAAATATAATTGTTTTGATTATATAGAACGTAGCTGCTGATGCACGATATAAGGTTAGTTTTTTTTTTTTTTGGCCTTATACAACTAGATTTAAAATGCAAATACAAACAAAATACAAAATAAATCATCTACAAACTAATTTTTTATACAAATTCTATCATACAAAATGCGACATCAAACAGCGAAATAATAAACGAGATTGCAGCCTCCAATTATTTTTCCTTGCACAGTTTTCTTATTTACATTAAGCCCTACAGGGTGGTTCACTAAAACTGAACCTCGGTTTGTTTTTTTTTTTCGTTTTTTGTTTTTTCTAAATAGGCCACGTTTAATTTCTGCACAATATATTTTAATTATTGTCTTTTTTTAATTTTTTTTAATTAATAATTGTATACTTTTTAGGCGTTATTGATTGTTTATAAGGAATATATTTAAAGACAAATTATTTATGTTTATAAATTTGTATTGTGCAAGCTGCAAGCATGCACATCATCGGATTTAGCTTCAGGAAAAGAGTAGTTTGGATGTGAAGGTCAATGTGAGATAGTGATGATTCATCGATGTTTTGTATTCAATATTCGATATTTTTCTATAACATCGTTCAATATTCTGTTTTGAGAATTCTCTTAGAGGGCTCTACCTATTACCTGTCATTACAGTGACCTGTCATTTGCAATAAAATATCGTCCATTGAATACAAAAACAGTCAAAGAAAAATTTCCTTTGCCACGTATTGATGACCTTTTAGATTAGGTTGAATGGATGCGAGTTTTTTACAAGCTTGAATCTTGCCTCTGGCTATCATCAAATCCCTGTTGCCGATTATTCAATTGCTTTGTAACACCAGACAGGCATTACGAGTATTTGAGAATGCCTTTTGGACTAGTGAATGCACCAGCAGTTTTTCAGCAAACGCGATTTTAGGTTCATTGTGATCTTGATGACGTTTTACAGCCTTGAAAAAGTACTAGAATTATTTGAAACTGAGAAATTGTTAGACGAAATCGAGTAGATTTGAGAGAATCACAGAATCATTTTAATGTAAAATCAAATTCAAATGAAATTTTAGAACTTCTTACAAATCTACTGAATGTCCTTTTATCCAAAGTCCTTGTGTGTTTAAGGATAATGTTAAGTCTAGTGCTAGGTCTAGTGTTGTTCCTGATGTTGAATTTAGTTTAAAGTCCAACCCAGAATCCACTTTTCAAAAAACATATATAACTAGATCAGGTCGCACCTCTAAACCTGTACAAAACCTAAAAAATCAAATGCAACGCCCACAAAAAATCTGTTAAGAACACTCAAGACTGGCCAGAATTCGAAAGACAGACACTAGCCAAACACAAATTGTTTATAAAGCCTATTGTCAAGTAGAACTTGCAAACAATATACTGCCTTTACAGTTCCGGAGTGGGACATTTTTCAATTTACCAGATTACCTTTTGGGTTGCACAACGCTCTTGCAACATTTCAGCGTCTTATTTAAGGCCCAACTCTAAATCCTTACGTGTTTTGCTATTTGGATCATCTGTGTCTCACCTGATTTTGTAATGCATTCGGAAAACTTGAAAAGTGAAAGTAATCAAGACAAGACTGCAAAATTTAAGACAAATGACAAGGAGATGCAGAAGGAAAAGTCAGAGGGAACTAGACCCGATAAGAAAAACGAGAGAAGAACCCAGGAGTGACCAGAAATAACTCGAGATAAACTTAAAGTAGGAAGAAAGTTTGGTGTATTATGATATATATGGGATTGTATTCCAGCAAATAGTTAAGGGATAATTAGGGATAACTGGAGATAACAGCAGATGTCCGGGAAATACCCAGGCGGGAATAGTCAGGGATAATCGAGTACAACAATACATAAAAATTCGATGCAAGAACAGCATTAGTTTGATGTTAGAATAGAATGCCCTTTGGATCAAAGAACGCACCTGCGACATTCCAAATAGTAAGAAGCACTGCGATACCGTTAGTTGCTCAAAAATGAAGAAGTTGGGAAATGCCCTCATACAGTTGGAAGACATTCCAACTCTGGAACTGCTAGATGTCCTAAAATTTCTAGAGTACTTAGGACTGGAGGGGTTGCTCTGAACAGGTACAATAGATCAACCTTGGTCGCGGTGCAACTGACTGACTGGGTAGCAATAATTGGCGCCCAACGTGGGGCCCTGTGGTTGGGTACTCCAAAAATCAACAAGGCACCATAAGACGCTCTGACAAAACCTTAAACGAATCAAGTTTTAGTTTCCACCCCATGTATAAGCCATTATAGGACAATTCCCCAAATGAAATCCCAGAACGGTCTATCCCATTCACAATCTGTAGTCCAAAGGTACAGAATTTATCACCTGAAAAATTTTACCGTTACCTTTGGACTACAGATTATGAATAGATAATACATATAAGTTTAATTTGTTTTTAAATATATTCTCCAAGAAAAATTCATTTAATTACAAGTACCAAGCACAATTCCAATTATTTTTTTCTCTATATTAAATAAGTAAATTTAATTTAGCAGGAACTTTGGGTTTTTCATGTAAAATTCCAAAAATTCGTTTTTCAATTCACCTAAACTATATTATTTATTATAAAAATTAGCTAAAAAAACACCTAAAATTCTGTTGTTTCGCTATAGGAACTAAAAGACAATTATGTATTTGCAAATAGTCGCGACCTACTATATTATAAATAGTAACCCTACAATTTTCTATCTAAAGGGCCCCACACACACACTTGTCGGTTTTCATTAATGACCGAAGTGTATGGTAGAAAACCTCGTCGGTTTAAAATTCAGTCCGAGCTTGATTTTTGTAGGTCCAACTGCCAAAAAAATCGTGGTGAAAACAGGCTGACAAAACTTGCGACGATGAAAACCGACATAGTGTGAAAGGCCCTTAAAATTAAAAAAAAAAAATCGTTGTTTTTGATGCTTTTTACCCCAAAAAAATCTAAAATACATTTATTTTATTAAGCAAAATGACCCACATTAATTATTTTTTGCAACATCTTACTCTCTATCTATTATTTTTAAACAATAATACTCATTTCAGCCTTTTTTCCCTAAACAACCGTCAACACAAAAAAGAAATTGACACGTTTCGGAACTAACACTCGTCCTGCTATGACGTAACCGTCTCAACCGCCGGGCGCCGGCATTTCGTGTTTTTTCGACATCTTACCGCCGCCAAAATTAGCCCGAGGCGCCGCAGAAACACCAACGTCTGCGATTCGACGTCGTACCGACGTCGCATCATCTTGAGGCGCTGCAACGTCTCTGATTTGACGTCGCGCTGACGTCGCAGCATTGGCGACCACTCCGTCGTAGCCCATCGGTTTAGGTGCAGAATCAGCGCAATGGTAATTAAAATTGCAACACAATTCTCCGTCCTAGGAATGGATAATAAAAAAATTTAATTAACAATGGGATATTTTGAGGTTATGAAATTATTGTGCGTGAATTAAGGTTTTGTCTTTTTGTAGAATCAACTTTTTGATTCGAGGGGGATAACTACGGAATAACTTGGGATTCTAAGGATAACCAAATGATAACCAGGGAAGATTACACTGGACAAGTATTTGGTCGCTATAAGGCTAATATATTGACAATAGAAAAGGACCATATTCCAGCAGATAGTTGAGGGATAACCGGGAATAATTAGGGATAACCGTTGTTCATATTTAGATTATTACCGGCGTTTGATTATTTGGATAATATTCTGATAACTGAGATGACCAGGTATAATCGAGGATAACTAGGGATAACCAGGAGTGACCAGAGATTACTCGGGATAAACTTGAAGTAGGAAGGAAATTTGATGTATTATGTTATATATGGGATTGTATTCCAGCGAATAGTTAAGGGATAATTAAAGATAACTGGAGATAACAGCAGACATCCGGGAAATACTCAGGCAGGAATGATCAGGGATAATCGGGGACAACCAGGGATGACCAGACATAACTTGAAGAAGCTTCAAATATATAAAAATTCGATACGATACAAGAACAGCATTAGTTTGATGTTCGAACAGAATGCCCTTTGGATCAAAGAACGCACCTGCAACATTCCAAATAGTAATGGACATTGGATCCAGAGAAATCTAGAATTCCAGCGTTTGATTCGCTGGATAATTTTTCGAGAAAGACTCAAAAACCAGTGATAGGTCAAATTTTAATTATTACCGGCATTTGATGGGTTGAATAAGATTCTAGAGGAAATCAAGACCCAGTGATAAGTCAAATTTTGATTATCATCGGCTCTTGAGTCTTGATTGGTTGGATAATTTCTCTTGAGGGAATCAAGAGTCGATAATAGTTCAAAACTTGAAAATATTTGATGTACATGACCCAGGGATAACCGAGGATAACCGGATGATAACCAAAGGATAACCAAATGCTAACCAGGGATAGCTAGGGAATATCTGGAAAAATGCAAGCTTAGAAGATTACCGATAACTGAAAATAACAGCGGATATTCAGGGATAACCATTTGAGATGATCTGGGATAATCGGGGATAACCAGGAGTGACCAGAAATTACTCGGGATAAATTTGAAGTAGAGCTTAAAGAGCCGGACCTATACGCGAGCCCGAAGGGCCGGAGTTATATGCGAGCCCGAAGGGCTAGAGTTATTTTAATCACGGGGCCGTCTATATAGCAGCATTATTTTGATGTTAGAACAGAATGCCCTTTGGATCAATGAACGCACCTGCGACCTTCCAAATAGTAATGAACATTGGATCCAGAGAAATCTAGAATTCCGGCGTTTGATTCGCTGGATAATTTTCTAGAAAGACTCAAGAGCCGGTGATAGGCCAAATTTTGATTATTACCAGCGTTTGATTGGTTGAATAAGATTCTAGAGGAAATCAAGACCCAGTAATAGGTAAAATTTTGATTATCATCGGCTCTTGAGTATTGATTGGTTGGATAATTTCTCTTGAGGGAATCAAGAGCCGATAATAGTTCAAAATTTGAAAATATTCGGTGTACATGGTCCAGGGTTAACCGAGAATAACCGATGATAGCCAAAAGATAACCAAATGTTAAGCAGGGATAGCTAGGGAATATCTACAAAAATGCAAGCTTAGAAGATTACCGATAACTGAAAATAACAGCGGATATTCAGGGAATAAACACGCATAACCAACTGAGATGACCAGGGATAATCGGGGATAACTAGGGATAACCAGGAGTGACCAGAGATTACTCAGGATGAACTTGAAGTAGGAAGGCAGTTTGTTGTATTGTTACATATGGGATTGTATTCCAGCAAATAGTTAAGGGATAATTAGGGATAACTGGAGATAACAGCAGATATCCGGGAAATACCCAGGCGAGAATGGTCAGGGATAATTGGGTACAACAATACATAAAAAATTGATACAAGAACAGCATTAATTTGATGTTAGAATAGAATGCCCTTTGGATCAAAGAACGCACCTGCGACATTCCCAATAGTAATGGACATTAGATCCCGAGAAATCTAGAATTCCGGCGTTTGATTCGCTGGATAATTTTCTAGAAAGACTCAAGAGCCGGCGATAGGCCAAATTTTGATTATTACCGGCGTTTGATTGGTTGAAAAAGATTCTAGAGGAAATCAAGACCCAGTGATGAGTCAAATTTTGATTATCACCGGCTCTTGAGTGTTTGGTTGGATAATTTTTCTTGAGGGAATCAAGAGCTGATTAAAGTCCAAATTTTGAAAATATTTGGTGTACATGGCCCAAGGAAAACCGAGGATAACCGATGATAACCAAAAGATAACCAAATGCTAACCAGGAATATCTGTAAAAATTCAAGTATAGGTACTAAACTTAGAAGATAGAAGACAGCGGATATTCAGGGAATAAACAGGGATAACCAACTGAGATGACCAGGGATAATCGGGGATAACTAGAAATAACCAGGAGTTACCAGAGATTACTTAGGAAAAACTTGAAGTAGGAAGGTAGTTTGGTGTATTATGTTACATGTATATGGGATTGTATTCCAGCAAATAGTTAAGGGATTATTAGGGATAACTGGAGATAATACCAGATATCCGGAAAATACCCAGTCGGGAATGGTCAGGGATAATCGGGGACAACCAGGGATGACCAAAGATAACTGGAAGAAGCTTCACATACATAGAAATTCGATACAAGAACAGCATTAGGATGATGAACAGAATGCCCTTTGGATCAAAGAACGCACCTGCGACATTCTAAATAGTAATGAACATTGGATCCAGAGAAATCTAGAATTCCGGCGTTTGATTCGCTGGATAATTTTCTAGAAAAACTCAAGAGCCGGTAATAGTCCAAATTTTGATTATTACCTAGAATCAACCATTTGATTGAGATTCTGATGGGGATAACCGAGAATAACCAAATAACCAGGAATACCTTAATGATAATCAGGAATAATTAGGAAATATTTGGAAAAATGCAAGCATATACTAAACTCAAAAGATTACATTTGGCAACGTTGGATAGGTATTTGGTTCATAGACCTATTGATACTAACGTATAATAGACAGAGTCGATCTCTTTTTAGCACACGCAGCATACGTGGTGACGGAATGAAAGTGACATAGCGCAATACAAAATTAATGAGTATGACAAGAACGGTATATGCAACAATCACGTGACGTGAATGTTATTAATGTTATCTACTTCACCATTCTGTCATCGTTTTTCTCTCTCAAAACTCTGTCCATACGTTAGTATCAATAGGTCGCTATTAGACTAATATATTACCAATAAAAGGGATAATCGGGGATGACAGATATCCGGGAAATAACTTGAAATAAGTGAGGATAACCAGGGATGACCAGGAATAACTGGGGATACACTTGAAATAGGAAGGAAATCTGGTGTATTACAATTTCCCAATCGAAACCCCCCTCGATTTGATTGGTTGATTTTATAAAAGACATTATAAAAAGGTGCCTCAAAATAAGTGCAACAATCATTCACGATATAAGGGAACATTCTAGAACAATTTTATTAGTGTAGCAAAAATTACAGTCGATAATTGCTTCAAATGCATGAAAACTTGATTCCACAGAATGCCCTTTGGATCAAAGAACGCACCTGCAACATTCCAAATGGACATATGGATCCAGGAACTTCTAGAATTCACACACACACACACACACACAAAAGTCTACTTCAAAATTAAACCCAGCAAAAAAAGGCTCTACCAGCTACAACAACTACATGCAAATTAAGTCAGCATATACACATCTATAGGAGTGCTTTGTTTTGTGTAAAAAAAAAAAGATTGTGTTTTAGTTTGGGTGTTAAAATTGTTGTAGTTTCAACTACATAAAACTAAAAATCAGGCACTACTAGAGGTGTGTAATGGTTCAATTTTTTAGTGTGTATTAGAGTGATGTGATTACCGATGCACACAACACGCGGTATTGCTCACCAGTTCTGCGCAGAACGGCACCTGCAATGGAACTGAGTGTTAATTTGTTAGTCTGGCGCTAGCGGATTAGTAGTTTTTTTTCGGGCAAAAAGCTGCTGCTAGCTTCAGAGAGAGGATGAGTTATGATTAGTTACAAATGGGGCGACATTTGGGGGCCTCTATTTATATATTATGCAACTACAGATGATAATTTGGGCCGCGACACTGACTACTCTGTGTGTCTCCGTCTAGCTCGCGAACTGACTCTGTCGCGGCGCAAACCGCCACCTCGCAAACATCTTCGTTACAAGTGGGGCAAGTTTGTGAATTCACCATTCACTAAACTAACCCCACTGTCTCATGTTTAGAGGCTCAAAGAGCAACTAATTTTAGCTGGTCAACCAAAAATAAAAAACATAAACACTATAATACAAAAAGGGTTACCTTGCATTTGCAAGTCACGCACGGATCTTTCGGATCGAGAAATTCCTGTCCGGACTGGTAGAGTAGTTCACGGAACGTGCAATTCCTACCGAGGCCCAAAGAGTAGTTGCCTAATGAGCACAAGTCACCGCAATGTGGACAACAATCGCCTACATTATGGATGGGATTCGAGCAAATCAATGGCGGACATTTCATTTCCCAACAGTCGATTTCACCATAGAGACATTCGCATGTTTGACATTGATACGACCATCTAAAATTAAATTTGGAATTAAGTAGTTATGTCAACTAGGTGCTTAAGTTACCTTTCTCCATGCATAAACAGGACTTCGTTTAATTCCTGGTGCCTACAAGCATGCCTAGAGTCACATTGCGGACAGCAAGTGTCCGAAAACGTTTTCCGGCAGTCGCATTTTGGTTTCTCGCACGTGATGACACCTTTTTGGCACGTGCAGCTTAAGCAAGGATTGAATTTTGATTGGACAGTGATGCCATGTGCTACTTCGCGGTCCTCAAAGATGCAACTGTACCGGCAATCCACCGAGCCGCTAGGACAATGGCACTCGAAACCGCCATCAGTATTTAGGCATTGCGCTGTAGAGTGGCACGTGTGACGGGATTCTTCGCATTCGTCAATATCTATTTTGAAAAAATTTAGTTTTTTGTGCCTAAAAGATGTGGTTGTTTTTGGCTCACCTACACACGAAGTTCCTAAATTGTTGTCGGGTACCGGGCCTTCGTAGCCCGGCTTGCACTGGCAGTAGTACCAGCCCATCATGTTGACGCATATCGACGAGTTTGTGCATCGGTGCGCTTTGGTTGCGCACTCGTCCAAGTCTCTTTCGCACGAAGTACCAGTGTAGCCTCCCGGACATGAACACTGGCCTGGTTTCACGCAACTGCCTCCATTAAGACAACCCGGAGAGCAAATTGCTGCAAATAACATTTTTATTTTAAATTTAAAAAAAAAAATATCATAACTCTATTATTAATAACTCAATTGCTTGAAATTTCTAGTATTTTTTACATTGAACCTTTAGGAAAAAGTTCTCAAAGTTTCAACTCTCCACTCACTTCACTTTTTGAGTGAAAAAATTGTGTGTAAAGTCTTACTTTACAAAACATCATTATTTTAAAAAAAATCATAACTCCATTAATAATAACTCAAGTGCTTTGAATTATCAGTATTTTTTACATATGAATTTCCCGTCATCCATTACTCCCCCCAGATAATCATGAATGGACCGCCACTGGCAAAAAAAATTATACAAACATACCTGTACAAGTGTATCCATCTCCGGCATATCCGTCTTTGCACTGGCACTTGTAGCTGCCTCGGGTGTTGACGCAGTCGGCGTTGGAGTGACACTTGTGCGAGCCAGTGCTGCACTCGTCCAACTCGGCGCAGTTGAAACGATCGACTCGCACGTACCCGTCCAGACACTCGCACTCGTACGAGCCGGCCGTGTTCAAGCAGCGCGTGTTCGAGTGACAGTGATGGCCTTCGAGGCCTCCTTCTTGCTGACACTCGTCAATATCTAGATTTATTATTATTATTGTATTATACTTTTAGACACAATTCCTACCAGAACATATAAGACGTCCATCTCCCCTAAAGCCTTGATCACATTGACAAGCGTAAGTAGTTTGCAAATTGCGGCAGGTCGCGTTAGAATGGCAAAACTGGCCCTTGGCACAATAGTCGACGCCTGGTTAGATTGTTAGTAAGAAACAGAGACAGAAAGAGTTAGGCATTGATTAAACAAGCTTTGGAATTTGTTAGTAAGCGAAGTCGTACCTTTACAAATGGGACAGCAACTACCAGAGACGCGAATTTGCTGGTCTACTGCACAATTCAGGTGCGGACAATCATTGGGGTCGTAGACTTTACATTCCATTGAACCATCTACGCAGGTGCAGTCCTTGCACTTTTCCACTGTGACAATTTCGTCATGGTCATACATTACATCATTGAAGTAACATTGTTCTAGAATTTGGTTTTTACAACAATGAAATTCAAATAAATATTATCAACTTACTCAAACAAGTTTGGCAACATGCCTTGTTAGGTTTGACAGGATTTTTGCAGTTTACTGGGGCACATTCTACAGGGTTACAGGTAATGTTGCCCCCCTTGCACGAGCAAACTTCACATCCTGTTTGCCACGTCGACCCGTCTGCGTGAATTGTCTCATTTGATTTACAAGACTTTTGACAGTCGCACTCTTCGACTTTAGTCAATCTCTCTTCGGCATTAGCTAACTAATAACAGGTTTTGTAATTATTTATTTTGTAATATTATAATGAGTTATTTGTAAAAGTAAAAAAGAAACCTACCTACCCTTTGCGATAGCTCCAGTAATTTGAGCTCCAGCTTTTGTACAGCGGTTTGCACGATCAGGAATTGTCCGCAGGTTGGACAAGTTACGTCCAGTTGCGGACACACAGCCAAAACTCCATGGGAGCCTTCTATTAATCGCACGTCTTGTAAAAAACCCTAGAATGGTCAATGTCTCATTATACAACTTTGTTGGGGTTTTAGAATATTTATAAACGTTCGTGATGGATTTGGTATGTTCGTGTCTAGTCTGCGTGCAATTTTTGGCCAAAAACCAGACAGCTTTTTATATGAATATTAATTGCCATTTTGCTAGAAAACTGCTGGTGCATTCACTAATCCAAAAGGCATTCTCAAATACTCGTAATGCCCGTCTGGTGTTACAAAGGCTATTTTAGCAAATATACTGCAAATGACAGGTCATTGTAATGATAGAAAATAGGCAGAGCCAAGGGGCAAACCACCTGGGAATTCTTTGCCAAAAATGTGGGAAATTTAGAGGAACTTGTGGGAAATTTGAAGGAACTCATCAGAATTTATGAGGAATTTATGGGGAATTTGAAAAAATTTATGAGGAATTTAACTAGTTTTCCAGGAAAACTTTGAAATATGTGATACTATATTTTCAATTAATTTAGTTATTGTAGGTTGATTTCCAATATTCCTCATGTTGTAATTTTCTATTGGAAAAATTTGAAATTTTGGGAAAATGAGCTTCTCAGCTTCCTCTTTCCATGCAAAAAGTTTCAAAATTTTCCCTTTACTTACTAGTTTTCCAGGAAAACTTTGAAATGTGTAGGACTGTATTTTCAGTTAATTCAGTTATTGTAGGTTGATTTCCAATATTCCTTATGTTGTTATTTTCCACTGGAAAAATTTGAAATTTTGGGAAAATGAGCTTCTCAGCATCCTCTTTACATGCAAAAAGTTTCAAAATTTCCCCTTCACTAGTTTTCCAGGAAAACTTTGAAATGTGTGAGACTATATTTTCAACTAATTCAGTTTGTGTAGGTTGATTTCCCAGATTATTCATGTTGCTGTTTTTCACTGGAAAAATTTGAAATTTTGGGAAAATGAGCTTCTCAGCTTCCTCTTTCCATGCAAAAAGTTTCGTAATTTTCCCTTCACTAGTTTTCCAGGAAAACTTTGAAATATGTGATACTGTATTTTCAATTAATTCAGTTATTGTAGGTTGATTTCCAATATTCCTTATGTTGTTATTTTTTACTGGAAAAATTTGAAATTTTGGGAAAATGAGCTTCTCAGCTTCCTCTTTCCATGCAAAAAGTTTCAAAATTTTCCCTTTACTAGTTTTCCAGGAAAACTTTGAAATGTGAAGGACTGTATTTTCAGTTAATTCAGTTATTGTAGGTTTATTTCCAATATTCCTTATGTTGTTATTTTCCACTAGAAAAATTTGAAGTTTTGGGAAAATGATTTTCTCACCTTCCTCTTTACATGCAAAAAGTTTCAAAATTTTTCCTTCAGTAGTTTTCCAGGAAAACTTTGAAATGTGTGAGACTGTTGTATTTTCAACTAATTCAGTTTTTGTAGGTTGATTTCCAAGATTTTTCATGTTGCTGTTTTCCACTGGAAAAATTTGAAATTTTGGGAAAATGAGCTTTTCAGCTTCCTCTTTACATGCAAAAAGTTTCAAAATTTCCTCTTCACTAGTTTTCCAGGAAAACTTTGAAATGTGTGAGACTATATTTTCAACTAATTCAGTTTGTGTAGGTTGATTTCCCAGATTATTCATGTTGCTGTTTTTCACTGGAAAAATTTGAAATTTTGGGAAAATGAGCTTCTCAGCTTCCTCTTTCCATGCAAAAAGTTTCGTAATTTTCCCTTCACTAGTTTTCCAGGAAAACTTTGAAATGTGTGAGACTATATTTTCAACTAATTCAGTTTGTGTAGGTTGATTTCCAAGATTATTCATGTTGCTGTTTTTCACTGGAAAAATTTGAAATTTTGGGAAAATGAGCTTCTCAGCTTCCTCTTTCCATGCAAAAAGTGTCGTAATTTTCTCTTCACTAATTTTCCAGGAAAACTTTGAAATATGTGATACTGTATTTTCAATTAATTCAGTTATTGTAGGTTGATTTCCAATATTCCTTATGTTGTTATTTTTTACTGGAAAAATTTGAAATTTTGGGAAAATGAGCTTCTCAGCTTCCTCTTTACATGCAAAAAGTTTCAAAATTTTCCCTTTACTTACTAGTTTTCCAGGAAAACTTTGAAATGTGAAGGACTGTATTTTCAGTTAATTCAGTTATTGTAGGTTTATTTCCAATATTCCTTATGTTGTTATTTTCCACTAGAAAAATTTGAAGTTTTGGGAAAATGATTTTCTCACCTTCCTCTTTACATGCAAAAAGTTTCAAAATTTTCCCTTCAGTAGTTTTCCAGGAAAACTTTGAAATGTGTGAGACTGTTGTATTTTCAACTAATTCAGTTTTTGTAGGTTGATTTCCAAGATTTTTCATGTTGCTGTTTTCCACTGGAAAAATTTGAAATTTTGGGAAAATGAGCTTTTCAGCTTCCTCTTTACAGGCAAAAAGTTTCAAAATTTTCCCGTCACTAGATTTCCAGGAAAACTTTGAAATGGGTCAGACTTTATTTTCAACTAATTCAGTTTTTGTAGGTTGATTCCCAAGATTCCTCATGTTGTAATTTTCTACTGGAAAAATTTGAAATTTTGGGAAACTGAGCTTCTCAGCTTTCTCTTTCCATGCAAAAAGTTTCGTAATTTTCCCTTCACTAGTTTTCCAGGAAAACTTTGAAATATGTGATACTGTATTTTCAATTAATTCAGTTATTGTAGGTTGATTTCCAATATTCCTTATGTTGTTATTTTCCACTAGAAAAATTTGAAATTTCGGGAAAATGAGCTTCTCGCCTTCTTCTTTACATGCAAAAAGTTTCAGAATTTTCCCTTCAGTAGTTTTCCAGGAAAACTTTGAAACGTGGAGACTGTTGTATTTTCAACTAATTCAGTTTTTGTAGGTTGATTTCTGTTTTTCACTGGAAAAATTTGAAATTTTGGGATAATGGCCTTCTCACCTTCCTCTTCACATGCAAAAAGTTTCAAAATTTTCCCTTTTTTTAGAGGAATTTGTGGGTTATTTGGAGAAGTTCGTGGTGGGCTATTTGGAGGAATTTGTGATGGGGTATCTGAAGGAATTTGCAGTAATTTTGAGGAATTATGCGTGAGAAATTCCCCTTTGAGGAATTGTTTGCACCAATTCTGGGATAGTGGATCACCCCGTGTCAATTGCATTAGAGAATGGACATCATACCCTTATGAATTATGAAAAGCTTAGGGTAATATTATAGGTAAATTGAAAAACAAATTACAAAATGTGTGTGTCAAACATACTAACCTTAAAGAAATAATGATTATGTCGTTGACCGACCCAAATCTGATATCGATCCGTAACATTCCTATCAGGCTGTCCAGGCCTGAGAACTCTCTTGTAAAGCGGATGACAGTCTACCAAAACCTCAACTTGCGATCCGCTAACGGAAACCGCTAAATGATGCCACATATTATCCGCCAACCTATAGTGGAAACTTTCCATGTAAATCCTACGGTCTTGTAACGAAGTGTAGTGCAACCGGATCTCGTTGCGGCGACCGCTCGATTGTACTTCTAGGAATCGCGTCGGGCCATTGGAAACGCTGAATATTGTACCGGTATTTTCGATTTCTTGACGCAACCAGGCGCCGATTGTGAACTCGGAACCGCCCTGGAGTAAAGCGGCAGCTTCCCGGAACGCGTCCGAAGGTAAACGTAAATCGTGACGGTTTCCTACAATAGGAGACAGAATTATTTATTTGTTTGCGTGCCTAGTATTGTACACACATCATTAAATAATTATTAATTAGTGGGGTTTTCTATATTTAAACAACACGCAAGGCTCGATATTGTCGCTATTATAGGACAATTTTGGGTTTGATCCTTGAACTTTCTGGTTGGAAGCCAATATAAGGAATTCTATGAATATTTAAAATGTTACACTAGCGATACAGTTTAATCTTCTTGTCTATCTGATGTATGAGAATGTCTTATTTACTAAGTCAGTCTTTCTTTTACAGATGGAGAAGAAAAGACAATTTGCATGATCAATGTTGGTAAGTTTATATTTGCACTATTTCCATTAAAACAAACTTTGGTTCAACTCAAATAAGGTTACTTTATCTTTTCCAAAGTTTTGTGGGTAACAACCCGCCTTGCTCTCACCCCAAGTATAGGGGGAACAAACTAATACATTTTGAAACAGCGTAGAGTAGGTCCGGAAATGTAGGGGTGAAAACAAATAGATTTTCATTCGAGACAATTCTTACCTTCGAGTAAATAGGCAGGTTTGCCTTTGAGAAATCCTGGGGCCAAAGAGACCCCGGTCCAGCTAACGTTCGAAAGTCCCATGGCGGCCAGCAGGTCCATTGATTGGAGCGGAGGGCCTGGAGAGCCGGCCACCGACCCCAGGCCTGTAACTGTAACAAGAAAAATCCCTTTAGAACTATAAGTAGGCCAACATAAAGATGGTGAGAGACGAGAGGGAGCCTCTTATTGATTTCTGCATCTTATGGATGGCGCATTTTTCCGTCCGCAATTGATGCACCCAAGAAAATTCAATTTCGTTACAGTAATTGAAACTCATTCAAGGGGGAAATTTTTATACAAAAGGGTGAATAATTGACTGATGTGATGTGATGTGATGTGCTGTGATGTTTTCTTATTAAATCTATACTCTGTTTGTATATAGTTTCAAGTGGGTTTAGGGTTTCGTAGTGGGTAACGATTTTTCCATTTCTCCACCTGGAAAAGAGGCTCTAAAACATAAACGACCCGCTCTTTCTCTCTCTTTCTAGGCATCGATTTGGCACTGGGCCATTGTCGGAATACAATAAACATTCTTTGCAGCGGATTTTTTTTTTTGGTTGTAATATATGTCTATAAGTTAGGATATTTTAATTTGTATTTAAATTTATATATCTAATTGATAAGTATTAAATTCTCTATAAGCCTGTGCAAAATTGGGTTTTGTAGCTTTTAAAGTTTCCAAGTTATAGAGCTTCAAAGTTTAACTTTAGTCAAAATTTTGTCCAAAACTTCAAACTCAATTTTCTCAAAAACTATGAAAACTAGCGACTTCAGCAAAATACCAACTGAAAGCCCTTATCAAGAGCTACAAACCCTGCAAATTTTGTCTCGGTACCGCTCTTGGTTACCAAGATATCGAGCTTTGAAGATTTGAAACTAAAAATCCAAAGGGGGTAACCATAGAAAAAAATGCAAAAATTTTTATTTTAGAATTTTTCTCAATTTTGACTTCAGAAATCAATAGACCGAGTTTAAATTAGTCAGAAACAACTCCCAGATCAGTTATATTTGAGAATTATAATGAGAGAAAAAATCTTGAAGGAAATCTCAATTTTTTTCTCTGGAAATTTTTTGAAATCTTGACACGTTCATGAATAATTGCCCATATCTTTAATATAATTTGAGTAAATTAGCTACAGTCATATATCATTGGAAAGAGCATTAAATTCTCTTTAAAACTGTACCATATTGGTTCCAGTACCTCGACGGGTTCATGAGCAATCAAACTTCAAAGTTGAACTTTAGTCAAAATTTTGTTCAAAACTTCAAACTTGATTTTCTCAAAGACTATATTCGCTAGCGATTTCAACTAAATACCATCTGAAAGCCCTTATCAGGAACTACAAGCCCCGTAAATTTTGTCTCGGTACCACTTTTGGTTACCAAGATATCAAGCTTTGAAGATTTGAAACTAAACTTAGAAAAAAGTGCAGAAAATTGAAAATTTTTATTTTTGAATTTTTCTCAATTCTGACATCAGAAATCGATAGAGCGATCTCAAATTAGTTAGAAAGGATTCTTAGATCAGTTAGATTTGGGAATTATAATGAGAGAAAAAATCCTAAAGGAAATCTCAATTTTTGTTTCTGGAAATTTTTTGAAATCTTGACACGCTCATGAATAATTGCCCATATCTTCAATAGAATTTAAGCAAATTAGATACGATTATATATCATTCGAAAGAGCATTAAATTCTCTTCAAAACCATACCATATTGGTTCCAGTACCTCAACGGGTTCATGAGCAATCAAACTCCAAAGTTGAACTTTAGTCAAAATTTTGTCCAAAACTTCAAAGTCGATTTTCTCAAAAACTATAAAAGCTAGCGATTTCAACTAAATACCATCTGAAAGCCCTTATCAAGAGCTACAAACCCTGCAAATTTTATTTGGGTACCGCTTTTGGTTACCACGATATCGAGCTTTGAAGATTTGAAAATAAAAATCCAAAGGGGTTGTTACCCTGGAAAAAGTGCAGAAAATTGAAAATTTTTATTTTTGAATTTTTCTCAATTCTGACTTCAGAAATCGATAGAGCGAGCTCAAATTAGTTAGAAAGGACTCTTAGATCAGTTAGATTTGGGAATTATAATGAGAGAGAAAATCCTAAAGGAAATCTCAATTTTTGTTTCTGGAAATTTTTTGAAATCTTGACACGTTCATGAATAATTGCCCATATCTTCAATAGAATTTAATCAAATTAGATACGATTACTTTTTACCCACCTGCACTGTAAACCCTCTTCCGTAAAGCCCTCCATTAATCTATTTCCAAAAGGCTCTTACCCTGAGATGGCACTTTATTATATCCCTTCACTTTCTGGAAAACTTAAGAATATTTAACCAATTCTTCCATTTGTATTCAAATTCGTATTCGTCAATTTTGGGGTTGGCCCGGGTCAAATCCCCAAAATTTCAGGTCAAAAGCGCCGCCGATCTAGAGATTTTCTCACGGTTTCGAAAAACTTCCCAGGCTCAAGTGCCCCCGGCTATCAGACCAATACCCTCCTCTACTACGTAAGTGGTCCACCAGATTCACAAGCAAAATGTTATTATTGCATTAAAATTAATCTCATGGAGTTTAGAACACTATTGACGAATACAAATGCAGGAATTGTTGAACTATTCTTTAGTTTTCAAGAAAGTGAAAGGATATGGAAAGAGGTACCTCTTCAGAGTAGAAGCTTTTTGACGTAGTGGAGGTGGGTATTGCTCTGATAGCTGTGAGGTGGGTATTGGTTATAAACAGGTGCATTAATTTTATTGCAATAATAAATATTTTGCTTGTGAATCTGCTAGTCTGATAGCTGGGGGCACTTGAGCCTGGGAAGTTTTTCGATACCGTGGGAAAATCTCTAGATTGGCGGCGCCTTTTGAAAATAGATTAATGGTGGGCTATGATGGCTATGCTGGAGGGGGGCTTTTACGCGGTAGAAGTGGGTATAGCTGTGAAAACACTCTACTCTTCACCCTTATAGCCGTCCTTTTTTTTCCAATTTTAGCAGACACCGCAAAAAACTTACGCAAGCACCAAACAACACTAGTTCCCGTAGCTGGAAAACAAATATGGAAAGGTGTGAACTACGTTGTTTCAAATGTATTACCATTCCCTTCTTAGAAACTCGTCCGAATGTAAATTAAAGAATGCTGGTAAACGTTTTTGGGCGTGGCTTCTGGAGAAGTTTTTTCGCCACCGGCAGGCTGTTCACCTTCCCTCATAAATTCCGGTGCATGAACATCAGCACCCACGAGGTTTTCTGAAACCTGGCGCCCCTGCACTGATGGAGATACAGACAGATGTGGAAAGAGCATAAAATTCTCTATATAAAATGAGCAAACTTTGAAAAAGACAGCCCATACATTTCCCAAGTTAGATTTCATTAAAAATTTTGTCCAAAACTTCAATAATAAATGCTCCTATATCTACATCCTTTGAAAGAGCAATAAATCCTCTAAAAACTTTGCATCGAAATTTGTCTTCGTCTAGTACTAAATCAAGAGCCAGTAATAATTAAAATATGAAAAATCATCCATCTCAAAAACTCTTAAGATTACAGGCTTGTTGGAAGCGGTTTTTCTATTTCGGTTAACATAAAAAGTAAATATTTAAAGATTAAATCAACATATTAATTTCGAGGCCAAAGTTGATCCTCTAAAGGGAGATCAGCTGATACGCCCGCAATCGATGACGTAAAAATCTGTGACAATGTCCTGTGCCGGCGTCGTCTCCAGCCGGGACGGCGCCGACCCCTTCAAAAATGTTTCACCCCTAAAAATATCGGTTGCATGTTGTCTTATTTGCTCGTTAAATTAATTAGGAAAATGAACAAACAAACTGTGTGTGTTTTTCCTCTAATAGGAATCGATTTAAAAATAACTCGCTGTGAAAGTTTAGACAGCTTGGCGGCCGGTTACCAGGCTATCCAGTATAAGGTCAGTTGGATACTTAAAAGTAAATCATTCGGACTTCAAAGGGATCAAAGACAGAATTTTTGTTTGGGTTAAAAACACTGATGATGATGGGCGCGAGTGCAAATTTAGATTAACTTAAAAATAGCAGCAAAATAAGGTTATTATTATGCCGGCGTCTCCTGCTGGTCTGAACGCGTTGAAATTCTAATTGAGTCATAATTAATTGGGTTTTTGGCAATGGCTACTCTGTTTAATTATTACATTGTTTATCTATTGAAAAAAACACTTGAGTTTCTGGATGGTTTGTTTGGATTTGTGTCGATCTTTTTTAAGTGATATATTTTCGTTTGAATTCCTGGATAGAGTAAATAGTTGGTTCTGTGTATCTATTGGAAAATTTAAATTTGCTCGCTGCATCAATCATACATTATACAGAATTGAAAAACTTCATGATTTTTCCGTCATTCATTACCCCCCTAGGAAATCATGTATGAGTTCTGCCGAAGGAAGCTATTTTCCTGGGTGTCAGTTGGCCCATTTCTTCTGGTGACAGTGTTGCCCCCTCGAGGAATTTGGGACTCTTGCAGAATTGGGCTGGACATTGGTCGGTCTCTATTGCGTCTGAGCAGAATCTGCAGAAATCGTCTTCTGCTCTGCCCATTAACCTTAAATAGTATTTTACCAGGCAGTGTCCTGTGATTTTTGATTAGAGGCCCTAATTAGCACCTAAAAAGCACCTAATTATTATATAGATGCCGAAGTTTTTTTGCCATTCTGACACACCAACAAGTAAACGTAAAGCCAGCAGTCCCTTAATAATTAAAAAAAATCTGTAACTCAGTTAATAATTAATCAATTCTATTTTTTCTCTGACTATTTAGGAGCACCTAAAAAGCACCTAATTCTGATACAAAAGAAAATTTTGAAAAAATATTTTTTACTATAGGGGACTTCTAGCTTTCATAAACCTAGTAGTCCCTTAGTTTTTATTGATTTTCTCAAAAACTAGAGGAGCACCTAATTTTTAATTAGAGGCCCTAATTAGCACCTAAAAAGCACCTAATTATTATATAGATCCCGAAGTTTTTTTGCCATTCGGACACACCAACAAGTAAACGTAAAGCCAGCAGTCCCTGAATCATACAGTTTAAAAAATTCAAGTAGGCCATTTGTAGCGATTTCTTTGAACTATCAGGGATA